CCCCCTCCCCCCCCTCCCCCCCCTCCTCTCCTTATGAATTCAAGCCGGGGCGAGGGCGAAGCTGACGATCTGAAGGTGGAACCTGGACGCGGGCGCGTCGTGGAGCCGAAGAGACCGGCTTGCCTTGCATCTTTCGTTTGTAGCGTGTGAGAACGTCTGGAGCTGTTGCTTGAAGTTCTGCATGGGTCAACCAACGGTCAGCTCGGTGTGTGCAGTATTCAAAATGTACCAAGTACTCGGTTGGCCTGTTGTCGTAGCGTCGCTGGGAGATGATGTCGCCGACCTCTTGAAAATCGTCCATAGAGGGTGGGTCTTGCGAACGTCGCCTGGGAAAATCGTCATGTTCCGCTGGCGTGTAAAGAGCCAACTTGAAGCTGCAATGAAAGACTGGGTAGACGGGCAAGTGGGCGGGCAGCTGAATAGTGAATGACGGTCCCTCGGGTGCATCCCCAGCGGTTGCCACGATCAGCCAGGGCCCCATCCTTTTCGGGAGGAGCTTGCGAGAGATATGTTGTTCAAGGCAAATTCCGTGGCCAAAACCCAAACGAGATCGCCCGCGCGGAATGGGCAAGGAAGACGCTGGCGATTGGCCTATTGGCTCATGCGCTGCTGCGTCTTGGCCATCTGGTCATGTGCCTTGACAAAAAGCTCTTGCATCCGACGAAAGAACAGAAGATGGTCGTCGCTCTCGACCGCTCATGGAATGATGATGTCCAACGAAGAAGTGACCGGCAAGCCGTGCTCGAATTCGAAGGGCGACATCCCGATAGCCGGGTGGATGGAGGAGTTGTAGGCCAAATCGACATCCGGCAGCCGCTCAACCCAATCCTTCTGGTCAGGACGGATGAGAGTGCGAAGGAGAACCTGTGCGGTCTGGTGCGCCCTCTACATTTGGCCATCAGTCTGGGGGTGGCGAGTTGAACTGGGCTTGAGAGATGAGCCCCATCGCTTAATAAGCGCCAACCAAAAATCGGACATGAACCGAGTGTCGCGGTCACAGACGATTTCCTTGGGGTAACCCTTGGTTCAAATCCAACCGGCGTAAAGAACCTCGGCCAACTCCGGTGCCTTGGCGTGATAGCGACAAGGCAAAAACATGGCGAACTTGGTGAGACGGTCGACCACCGTGAGAATCCCATCCGCGCCGGTCTTGTGCTTGGGGAACGGGCCGGTAATGTCCATGGCAATCGCTTCCCTTCGCCGCAAGGGGACYGGTGATRGTCGCAACTCGCCGCATGGACGATGGTTGCGRGATTTGCAGCGCCGGCAAACCTCGCATGACTCGCAATAGCGTGTGACGTCGCCGAGAAGGCCGGCCCACCAAAATCGCTCGCGAAGTCGGTCAATCGTGCGATTGACTCCGAAGTGTCMGGTGGCGGGAGCATCGTGGAACTCGCCAAGAAGCCGTGTACGCAAGTGAGGGTCACTCGGTACGCAAAGAAGGTCCTTCCCCCGTGTGTGGACAAGCAAAGACCCCTCTTGGATCCTCTAGTGAGAAGGCGCCGGATTGGGAGAGGAGCAATTCGCGTACTTGTAGCGAAACTCGGGGTCGGCTTGGTAGCCGTGGATGAAGCTGTCTCGCAGGTCGTTGTCGATCTCAAAGGTTGAGTAGACCGCGGTACAATGATCCGGACGCCGTTAGAGAGCATCCGCAAAACGGTTCGACTTCCCCGGGATGTGATCGGGAAAGAAGTCGAACTAGTCGATGRAAGTCATCCATCGAGCGATGGTGTTGTTGACKGTGTTTTGGGTCTTGTAAAAGACCAACGGATTGTTATCCGTTACCCATCGGAATTGGCTTCGACCAACGAGGAAGTGTCGTCACCGCTTGAGTGCGTGGACGAAGGCGAGGAGCTCCTTCTTGGGTGCATCGTCAACGGATTGCACGACGGGCACTTTCTTGCTTAAATACTCGACCGGGTGCCAGTCCACGCCATCATGTTGCTCGAGAACGACACCAATGCCATAGTCGGACGCATCCGTAGTGACGCGCGCAGGCAAAAGCGGGTCATATGCGCAAGACCTCCATAGATAATAGCGCGACTTTGAGAGCCAAAAATGATTCCCGAGCATCCTCCCCGAAGTCAAACGGCCGATCCTCACATTGAAGCTTGGTCAAATGGGCCGCGATCTTCGAGTAACCCTTGATGAAATGCTGGTAGCCGGCGAGGCCAAGGAACGGACGGACATTTGTGACGTTCCGTGGCTCCAACCACTCTTGGATGGCTTGAATCTTGTCCGATAGCGGACTGATGCCCTCCGGTGTGACAAAATGGCCCAAGTATTCCAGCTCTTGCCGGACAAATTCGCACTTGTCGCGGTTGGCCTTGTCCTTGGCGCGGCAGAGTGTCTCCAACACTCGTCGAAGATGCCCAAGATGATCCTCCAATGTCCGGCTATAGACGAGAATATCGTCTAAGTAGACCAGCACGAACTGGTCCAACATTGCACGGAACTCGTTGGTCATTGCTGCTTGAAAGGTCGTCGGGGCGTTGGTGAGGCCAAAAGGCATGACCACCCACTCAAAATGCCCGTACCGCGTCTTGAACGCGGATTTGTAGCGACTGTTTGGTCGGATCAAGATTTGATGGCATGCCGACTTCAAATCCAACTTAGAAAAATACTTTGCGTCGCCCAATCGCTCAAGAAGATCGTCAATGTGAGGAAGAGGCCCCACATTCTTAACGGTTTGCACGTTGAGCTTGCGGTAGTCGATACACAATCATAGATCTTTGTTCTTCTTTCGTACGAAGAGAACTGGCGCTCCGTATGGAGAGCTACTAGGGCGGATCCAACCCTTGTCCAACAAATCATCGAGTTGAGGATTGTAAGCTCCTCCTCGTTCATGCGATAAATGCAACCTTTCGGCGGCACAGCACCGGCCTCGAGAATGATCTCGTGAGAGATTGGTCGATCCAGCACCACACGGGTAGGTGACTCGAAGATGTCGGCGAACTCGTCAAGCAACCGCACCACACGGGGGTCCGAAGACAAGTCTGTGGGTGAAGAGTCGGTTACTGCGACGGTCCGTAGGAAGCATAGGCCGATTTCGTCAGGCTGCTCGTAAGCACAAGTAGCCCGGAATGACTTTGTCGTCACCACTTGGCACCGAATCGAAGGGTGTGGAAGAGGAATAGTACACGCCACTTCGACGCCGAAGACGTCGCGAATGGAAAGAGTCCACCGGTGGAAGTTGACTGTGTGATCCGCACTTGCAAGCCAAGGCATTCCCAAAATAATGTCGAAGTCCGTGTCCAAAATGTCAAACGTCACCGGTTCGCATGCATGAGGTGCGAAATACACCGGTACGGCCTCGATGTAGCGGTCGATAAGTTGTTGCGTCCTTCCGTAAGCCAACTTGATCGTCACCGGGTTTGCCTTCCTTCGAACTTGTGCACCAAGGCCAGCCCTTTGCATAAAGGTTTGACTCATAAAATTGCGAGACGCGCCGCTATCCAGCAAAGCGATGTAGGACGCTTGCCCAACTTGGATGCAGACATAGAGGAGCGGTGCGTTGTTGTCATTGTACCGCTGATTGCAAAACTCGCAGGCCACCTTGGTAACATCGCAAGGATGTCCCCCACCACGACTTCGTCATCCGTCGGCGAAGTTGGTGGTGCATAGAAGGATAAGTACATGTGGAGATGAGCGCATAGTGTTGCGCATTGCGGTCCCGACAAGCGGCCCGTGGTCGGGAGAGGAAGCCATGCGAAATCCCCGGACGTGAGCGGGTCCAATACCTCTATATTGAACTCGCGCGCCGAATCCCGTGAAGAACCACTTGAAGACGATAAGTCGCCGCTGCCGGACGGAGAAGATGTCGCACACACGTCTTGTCCTTGAGCTTGAGTACCCAACATAGGAACGAGCCGGG